TATATATATATATATATATATATATATTTATAAGTCCAATTGTTTAGTTATCATAAACTGCAATTTAAATTGTTTCAGTATTTACCACATGATTCCCTATTTAACACTTAATTAATTTTTTTATCTGACAAAGAATGCTACGTCACTTCGTTATTTAATTGTAATACGAGTGTAAAAAAAATGTATGCTCCATAAGTTTTTATTTCAATAATAGTTCTCTGGACTCTACATTCATTATGGTTGCTGTAACATAAATTGTTTGGTACTGAAGTGTTTTTAAATTGTCATTTTGATATATAACGCAAGTCATATCTTTAGGGCACTTTTGGTGATAACATTAATTACATATTTTCTACTAGAGACGTGGCCATTCACTTACAATAGGAACCAGCAGACAAACATGTTATTATTCCTTTATGGGAAGGGTTAGAGGTTTGCTTGACCACATATAATGAAGTGAGTTATCAGGTACTTAACCACAAACGGTAGTTGAATTGCCTTTTGTGTTTCCTCTTTCCACCACCACCATAATTAGAACACCCTCCAACAATGCTGTTGCTATATGAGCAGTATTATACTATATAAAATACTGCTATATCAGTAGTATTTCTGCTGATACTGTCTTTTAAGCTGCTTCTACCACCGTAGCTTATGTTGTTAACGGTATTCTTACTACCAATACGACCGAAACTGTAGCTCATACTTGTAATACTATTCTCTCTATCACAGTTACTACTTTTGCTACAGCTTATATTACTAAAAACATAATAAATTCATTACAAATACTATCACAACCTTTACTTGTAACAGTTGTTGAAGTGAACTGAACTGAACCACGTAGGGTGACCGCCCCACACTCTCATTCAGGGAGGTGAGACAGTCAAACACGTAACCTTCCCCCCTTAACTCTGATAGTTCCCAATGGTAGTGAGGTAATCTCTTTCCCGAAAAGTTAACCAGCTTCAGGTCTGATACCGCAACGGTAACAAGAGGATTCGTTAGCATCACAGGGAGGAAGGGGAAACAGACGATCTGGTGTCTTCCACGAATTTCATCACATTTAGATGTGATGAAAATTCTCAGCATTAATTAAATGGTTTAATTAATTCTGAGATTATTAAGTAAAGGAGCAATCTAAATGTTTAACCTTGATCTGACAGGTCAGAAAACTAAGTATAAGTAAATGTTAATATCTAAATTGTGAATTATTGCCTTTGGACCTAATACCTTAAGATCTTGGATATATTATATTTTGATGTTTATGTTTAAAGTTATTTCATGTTATCATCAATTAGGGATAACTGTTGACAAGAGACGAGTTTCTTTTCTCGTCTTGAAAATGTATTTAAATGGATTGTTGCAGCTCAACTGCCCTCTCTTTCTCTCTTAATGGTCCTTTCTTTTCATCCCTAATTCTATCTTCACTTTCCACACACACACACACACACAATGGGGTCTGGTAGCTGAGCGGACAGCGCACAGAACTCGTAATTCTGTGGCCCGGGTTCAATTCCCGGACTAGGCAGAAAGAAATAGTCAAAGTTTCTTGCACCCTGATGCCCCTGTTACCTAGCAGTAAAAAGGTACCTGGGAGTTAGACAGCTGTTACGGAGATGCTGCCTGGGAGGGGTGGGGGGTGTTTGTGGAAAAAAATATAAAATTAGTTAGTAGTTAATTACAGTTGATTGATTAACAGTTGAGAGGCACCTCAGCTCAAGTACAAGCGGGTGCGTACACTTAGGTGAGTACCAGGGGCTTCGCAGCTGAGTGGACAGCGCCTGGGAATCGTAGTTTCGCCTAGTCGTTCGGGTTCGATTTTCAGCGGAAACAAATGGGTAGAGTTTCTTTTACCCTGATGAGCCTGCTCACCTAGCAGTAAATAGGTACCTGGGAGTTAGACAGCTGTTACGGGCTGCTTCCTGGGATATGTGTGTGTATGTGTGCTAAAGAGATAATATATGTAGTAGATATAATAGAGGAAAAACAGATTAGTTAAAAAGACAGGGTTTAAAACGCTAATTGATCGACTGTGTAGACACAAAGAGTAAATACAAATAATAAATACATACACGCATTCACTACACACGAACGTCATCACTCTAATCCACGACTTTCAGTGCTGCGACTATATTCACTAAAAAAACAACCTCCATAACTGCATCTTCACTAGCAACTGTCTTCACCACTGTAACCATCTTCACTACGCACGACCCCTCGTCGCTGAATCCATCTTCACTACACAGTGACCCCCCTACCACCACCGTTCCTGGTCAGCCCGCCTGCAGCTGGAGAGTAAGAGAGCTCAGTGGACATAGGCATTCACATAATTTTAGCTTATGTGTTGGATGAATTTGAGGGAGTCTGGAGTCTGGTGGTCGACACGGACTCCCATCACCCTACAATCACCCCGAAGAGTTTGGAGAGGACTAGCCTTATGAGTTTGGAGAGGACTAGCCTTATGAGTTTGGAGAGGACTAGCCTTATGAGTTTGGAGAGGACTAGCCTTATGAGTTTGGAGAGGACTAGCCTTATGAGTTTGGAGAGGACTAGCCTTATGAGTTTGGAGAGGACTAGCCTTATGAGTTTGGAGAGGACTAGCCTTATGAGTTTGGAGAGGACTAGCCTTTTGAGTTTGGAGAGGACTAGCCTTATGAGTTTGGAGAGGACTAGCCTTATGAGTTTGGAGAGGACTAGCCTTATGAGTTTGGAGAGGACTAGCCTTATGAGTTTGGAGAGGACTAGCCTTATGAGTTTGGAGAGGACTAGCCTTTTGAGTTTGGAGAGGACTAGCCTTTTGAGTTTGGAGAGGACTAGCCTTATGAGTTTGGAGAGGACTAGCCTTATGAGTTTGGAGAGGACTAGCCTTTTGAGTTTGGAGAGGACTAGCCTTATGAGTTTGGAGAGGACTAGCCTTATGAGTTTGGAGAGGACTAGCCTTATGAGTTTGGAGAGGACTAGCCTTATGAGTTTGGAGAGGACTAGCCTTATGAGTTTGGAGAGGACTAGCCTTATGAGTTTGGAGAGGACTAGCCTTATGAGTTTGGAGAGGACTAGCCTTATGAGTTTGGAGAGGACTAGCCTTATGAGTTTGGAGAGGACTAGCCTTTTGAGTTTGGAGAGGACTAGCCTTATGAGTTTGGAGAGGACTAGCCTTTTGAGTTTGGAGAGGACTAGCCTTATGAGTTTGGAGAGGACTAGCCTTCAGACTTTCGCCTCCAACGTTGCACAGACAAACATTCTACATGACAGATATATGACGCTTGAATTTATATGTGCTTGTATGTACAAATGTAAATATATTTGAATGTGACTTTCTGCAATACACAAAACACTTCTTAAGTCATGCATAATTTACACATTTGAACTCGCAAGCAGAAACACTTAAATCTAAAAGGCAGAATTTCTCATGAATAATAGAGTCCCAGCGACTCTCAGGGCAGCACGCTAGATGGTGGGGTTAGGTGGTCGGGAGCTGGGGCCTGAGCAGAAAGAGGATAACTGCATCGTTGTTGGGAGTCGTGTCCTGAGCAACAAGAGGATAACTACTGTGGTCGGGGGTTTGGTCCTGAGCAGCAAGAGGATAGCAGTGATGGTCGGGTACTGTGCACATATACTCACTAAAATAGGATAGCAAATATAAATACTCGTCGTATACAAGAAGACGCGGTTTTAATCCAGAGTAAAAACCCTATTGAGAAGACCAAGAAACATCGGCGCAGAAAGGATATCCGAAACGTTTTCTTGCGTGACAGAGTAATCGGGGAATTGGAAATCGTTTAGGAAACTTTTTATGTACCAAAGACACTGCTAATTAAATGATTATGTTTGAAAACATTTCTAATGAAAATGATGCACCACGAGCATAGTTTTCTCTTTATGTAATTGCAATTAAACAATTATAAAAGCGTTAACCAGAGTCTTCATCTCAGTAAATATTCTGGTTAACGTAGCGAGGAAAAGGTTTATCTCATTAGTTAAGCCGTTGTGTGTTTGTGTGTTAGTGCATTCAAGTTATCACACGATTAAAATTGTTAACAAATTCGGAACTCGAATAGCCATAATTTACGACAAACTGCCTAATTCTATTTAGCCCTGGGAGTACCTTAGATCAGTTCCTAAGGGCACGTCCAAAACAAAATCCTATATGCCCCTTGCGTGCTTAACCAGCGCCCAGCTATCCAATCAATCTTAGGTATGTATGAATCCCACACACGCTACTTTCACCCACCGTAGATTTGGCACTTTATCTAGTCTAACAACCCAAACACCCCCACACACCTCCACTACCCACGTCAACCTGTTTCACGACAACATCAATAGCCTCACATCCGGGTCCAGTAGGACAAGATTTTCAACGGGATTCATGTTGGCCTGATTGAGCAATATCTGTTGGAAAAGCTTCCACTCTCGACAATTACCAGTTACTGACAACAGTAAACCTACGCTAATAACATTGTATTTATTCATCTGCTCGATGTTTCAATAATATAAATTCCACAATTGTTACCATATACGAGTTTCATACACAAGAGTTATACGATAATTTATGTTTGCAGTCGGGGAGTGGTCGCCCCCCCCCCCATCTTGCCTTCATATATTACTGCAAACCTAAACAAATTCGCCTCGCTAATACTGACTTTCATTGTCAATTATTTTTAAAGTATTATATTTAAATTCGCGTGGCCTGCAAGAGCGAGAGAGAGAGAGAGAGAGAGAGAGAGAGAGAGAGAGAGAGAGAGAGAGAGAGAGAGAGAGAGAGAGAGAGAGAGAGAGAGAGAGAGAGAGAGAGAGAGAGAGAGAGAGAGAGAGAGAGAGAGAGAGAGAGAGAGAGAGAGAGAGAGAGAGAGAGAGAGAAAGAAAGACATCAAGAGACAGAGATAGCAGCATCCCACCATGTCGTCTTAAATCTTCATTACGCACCCTAACAACATCACCCAACATCTCCATCAGCCACACTCACACAACCTGACTGACCCTCTCTACGTCTTCTCCTCCCCCAGGATGCCAGGGTCTGCGGGTGAAGAAGGTAGTGGTGCCTCACCACGAGATCAAGGGCAAGGGAGTGGAGCTGGAGTGCCAGTACGACCTGGAAGACGACCAGCTCTACTCCCTCAAGTGGTACAAAGGCATTAAGGAGTTCTTCAGATATGTGCCCGCAGACACTCCCCCCATACAAGTATTCGACCTTCCTGGAGTCCACGTTGATGTGAGTATTGATGAGTTTCTTCTCTATTTAACCCACTATTTTCTCTCATTGTTGTGGCTGTTCGTATTTCGTGTTCGTGGGTCCCAGGTCGATTATTTCTGTTTGATACGTGTCCAACATGGGTGGGTTGAGGTTGGCAATAATGAACCGAGTGCCACAGGCTACAGTGCCAATGGGTTCCTCTCCCCCCCAACGAATCTTGCAATTAGTAATGACAATGCATTCTCACACACATAATAACATTGGATACAAGACCATACTTGTATATTTGTGAAATTTGTGTAAGGAATTTACGCCAAGTCTTTCGCACTCTCCTGAGTGCTTTGGCAAAGTCACAGTGTGTGATAAGGACGAGACTTACATCTCAACGTCTAATTAATTTAGACGTTGAGATGCAAGTCTCGTCCTAATCTCATACTCAGACCTAGACAAAGCACTCAGAAGAGTGGGAAACACTTGGTGTAAATTATTTACATAAAAATCACAAATACACAAGTACGGGATTTTAGCCAAATCTTGCAATATCATACAATCTGACTCAGAATTATTTTAGAATCATTATGTACTAATGTCCGTAAAAATTGTCAACAACTTCTAACTATGCTACTATGCTACTTTGCATGTAAAAAGCCTGTAATGTGTGTTCACATGTTCTATTTACTGGTAGCGAGAGAGAGAGAGAGAGGGAGAAACAGACATACAGACAGTGACAGACAGACAGAGACAGACAGACATATATATACTGATAGACAGCGAGACAGAGACAAACACAAAGACCGACGGAGAAAGATTGAGAGACAAAGAGACAGATAAAAATAACAACAACAGAAAACCGAGACTGACAAGATAGACAGAGAGACGATCTGACAGAGATACAAAGAGATATAGAGATACAACGACAGAAACAAAGATACGGAGATAGATAAAGGAAGAGACAGAGTCCGGGTGGACTGAGTCCCCGCTGGGTACTCCATCTATTATTTACATATTTTAACAGAACAAAGAAGACACGGCATTTAAGCACATGACGTTTCTTTAACATATATTTAAATAATAAAATCCATACCCAAGCGTCAGCCAGACCAACCGTGCTTGAGAGGGACCTGTTGGAATGCTAATACGCGACTCTCAAGTATTTATTGACCACTTTACGGCTCTCAGAGACATAAACACATGCTTTAAAACTCCTGTCCCAGTGAGGGTCCTCTTAAACTCTGATATCAGGGGAATATATTTGCGTTTCAGTTATTGTGTAGAAACAAAATTATATATATATATATATATATATATATATATATATATATATATATATATATATATATATATATATATATATATATATATATATATATATATATATATATATATATATATATATATATATATATATATATATAGTGTGTGTGTGTGTGTGTGTGTGTGTGTGTGTGTGTGTGTGTGTGTGTGTGTGTGTGTGTGTGTGTGTGTGTGTAAATCACGAAAAATAAACACGTGATTAAAAATGTGACAGTGTCAGACCACGGAGGAAAATTGAAACAGGAATTTCCTTAAGTACTTTCGTATATTAATACATCTTCAGAAGGAGTTTTAAAGGTCAAGTATTGGACATATATAGGCAGGAGAGAATGATGGAGTGAGGTGAGGTACAATAACAGGTGAGGTACAGGTTGTTATTGTACCTCACCTCACTCCACCATTCTCTCCTGCCTATATATGTCCAGTACTTGACCTGTAAAACTCCTTCTGAAGATGTATTAATATACGAAAGTACTTAAGAAAATTCCTGTTTCAATTTTCCTCCGTGGTCTGACACTGTCATATATATGTATATATATAATGTTGATTAAGTGACAATTATCATTAATTAAAAATTACAATTAAATAATTAAAAATAATTATAATTTTTAATTATAATAATTAAAAACCTGAAACACTAAATGAGAGATCTCGTGTATTTTAGCACATTACGTCAGAGTTACAGAGAATATATACTTGATAAAAATTAGAGACGACTAATAAAAGAAGAAGACTATTTTGAAGTTCAATGGAGTTTGAGCCGACATGGATTACAAACCCATTATCGGATTAGGATAATTAATGGATTGAGGGAACACAAAGTCACATCTCAACAGGTGGTGTTACACCTGATTAACGCAATTAGCCATAATATACCGTTCAATCTATTGCTTTATTTAAAACATTTTGGTCTTTGCTTCCACTGTGTATATGATAGAGTGATTTGACAGTTAAGTTGCATTGACTGTTTAGTAATGTGTTCTTATTATTGCCATCACTATGCGGTTTGCGTAAATCTAGTGTCAGGTCAACTGCCGTGACCTCAATTGTTGGAACTGTAAAGTTGTAGTTGTAATCCAGTAACTGGTGTGCGTGGTCCATGTGGACCCATAATGACCTGACCGTCGCCTCATTATTTGTTCAATATCTAAGATTATATACAATGCAGTCTACGATGATGTGTTTAACATCATGGAAGACCCCACACGAAATCACACACACACACACACGCGTGCATACTAACAAACATTCACACACACACAGACACGTAGACACACACACACACACACACACACACACACACACACACACACACACACACACACACACACACACACACACACACACACACACACACACACACACACACACACACACACACACACACACACACACACACACACACACACACACACACACACACACACACACACACACACACACACACACACACACACACACACACACACACACACACACACACACACACACACACACACACACACACACACACACACACACACACACACACACACACACACACACACACACACACACACACACACACACACACACACACACACACACACACACACACACACACACACACACACACACGCACACACACACACACACACACACACACACACACACACACACACACACACACACACACACACACACACACACACACACACACACACACACACACACACACACACACACACACACACACACACACACACACACACACACACACACACACACACACACACACACACACACACACACACACACACACACACACACACACACACACACACACACACACACACACACACACACACACACACACACACACACACACACACACACACACACCACTCTGCTGAAGAACTAAAGCACAATGAGCTGAAGCGCGTATCCTTGATGTTCAGCTTGATAAATCCAAGGAGAATAATAGCGTATTCAGGGGAGCAAGGCGAGCGCTTCCACAAGGATATAATGAACTTTGAGAGCTGCTACTATGGACAGTATAACCGGAATATGATGAAAACTTGCTTTTGGAGTCTGGTTCGTAACATTGATTTACAGTGTAATTGTATCTTATTAAAAACTAATTTCTAGAGCCCTTATCATCATTTTTGTTTTTAAGTTTAGTATAAATATCTGTCGGTTTTGACAGGTATTTATACCTGTCAAAATTTATACATTTCTCACGGCAATTTATACATTTCTCACGGCAATTTATACATTTCTCACGGCAATTTATACATTTCTCACGGCAATTTAATTTTCCTCTTTGTGAACAATGGAAAATATATTAACAAAAACTGCAATTTATTTTTTTATAAATAATGGTTTAAGTACTACATCACAATGTATCAATTATATATTTTCGTAACATTCTAATCAAACTAGAATGATAATGAGTACGTCGACGGCATTTTATTACCATTCATTTCCATGTTATTTTAGCTGTCATAGGTCAAATGTCTTTCCGTGTCACCATTATCATGAGCAGGTGGTGTTTTTGTATAATAAATTCCTCATTAGAAAAACAAAAAAAGAGTGGCATTAATTTTTATTCGTCACTGTGACTATTTAGAAGCAATTCGACCATGGTCAGTTTTAATAGTTATGTTATGTTAAACTTTTTTTCAGTTAAATAATTGCACAAAATATGCAAAGGGCTTACGCATTTAGCTCAAATTATTCGTTGCTAAAACTTTCAGGCCCAAATGGTCAGAGCCTAAACTTTCCAGCCAAAACTCTCAGAAATATGTTTCAGGTTAAACCGCTATGACCCAAATGTTTGAGGGTCATATCTTTATACGGAACTTTCACACGCAAACGCTTAACTAAAAATTTGTATATTTTGAAAACACTAGGATTACACATATGCGATTGCAGACTAGCGAGGTTCCAAGTGTGTCAGCTTGTGCCAAGGTAGTCAGCTTCCTGACGTTCCATGTGTGTTGCTTGGGTGCAATATCGGGGTTCCAAGGGGGCAGCCTTGTCAGAAACGTTGCAAGCCACTGCTCCGGGTCTGAAATTTCACTCTCCGTTCGCTCCCTTCAAGATTGTATGCGTACTCATCTGGTTATATTCAGCTAGTTGTGCTTGCTTGGGTGCAATTGAGCTCTCTGGTACCGATAATTTACTCTTCAAGTGACTTGAGCATAGTGACTCTAGTCTCTTGGGCTCACTCATATTTTCGCTTAAATGTGTGTATCGATCTTGGCAACAATTTATTTCTCAATGTATTTAATTACTTCAATATTCTGAAACAATTCTTTTTTAATACCTGTTTACCCGATTGTTTATCACACATTTTCAAATAATCTGTCCTTGTCCACCATGTCTGTTCCTCTAAGAATTTTGCATGTCGTTTGGCATCATGTCTTTTACTTTACTCTTTCCACGTAACTCATACCTGGCAGCTCTTGTGCAGGTCTGATGGCATACATCTGGACGTTTTGCAGCTTCATTTTGTGTATAATGATAAAGCTCTCCACCATAGGGTAGCATGTTCTGAAACTAGTGTATGGTACATTTGGCCTACAGAACCCTAAAAGACTCCTTATTCAGATTTCTAAAATCACTTTTATTCGATAAAAAACTTATGTATTTGTGGATTTTATGTCAAGATTTGCACTACACCGATTGTTATCGCACTTCTCTGAGTGCATTATCAAAGTCTA